TGTCCGGTTTCTTGATCATGTGGACCTCCGCTGCCACTTTGTCCATTATTAGAGTGCGGAGAGAGAACAGTAATTTCTTCCTTGTTACCAATAGCACTTGAAGGAGACTGATTTTCTGACTGACCTGGTTGTATGGAAAGTTTACCAGTTTTTAGTTCCTCAGCGGACAGTACCGTATTCTCTCTCCCGTTCTCATGAGAATTACTTCTTTGATCACCATTGATGCCTGTTGTAGTTTCTCCTTCACCTGCTGCATGTCCATCTGAACCTGCAGAAGGTCGTTGAAGTGTACCCAGTGCATCACGGGTCTCAGTTACTCTAGAGGATGTTTGTTGCTTAACACGCTGTGAACGTTCACTTTGCCATTTCGTTCTATCATTTAAAAACTCTGTGCAATCCATATTCCTGTTTTCTTTGGGCCCATTCGTACACTCCATGATTGAACTAATAGGTTCTCCATCCCACGGGGAATACAAGCCCTCAATATCATTCGGCTTCGGTGCCACTTCAGCAGCAGCAGCCATGGTATACCCGCAGGTGCAGCACAGCACAACGGCCAACACACACATCACACGGTTCATCTTCATCATCATGAGAGAGACAATAGTTTGGATTGCGTAAAAATACAGATCTAGAAAGAAAGACAATCAACAAGCAAAATAAAAAAAAAATAACTGAAGTATCAAACATGTTAGGACACATAAATCGATTACCACTATGGAAATTCACATCGTGAAAAGTAAAACCTACCAGTTACAGAATGAAATACAGCGCAAATAACCTCATTAAAAGTAAAAACAAAAAAGAAGCCCACACTCAGAAATATCTCAAAAAAGGCTAAACCACCCAGCAAAATCATCAAACAAACAAAGAAACAAAGATTAACCATTAGCCCAATTTACACAGTAAACACAGAAATATAACAACTATGGGTGTAAGTCTATATGTGTGTATACGCAATTATAAATATAAATTCATCCGTTATTATTATTTCTTTTCTTCCCACTTCAAAAAACAGTTCATTATCATCATCACAGTGCAAGCCCAGGTGCACATACACAGAGAGAGTCTCCAAGAACACACATACACAATGGAGTAGCAATAATAATAATTATAGGATAAACATAGAGAGCAAAAAACAAACAAAACACACAATAACATTAAGAAACAAAAAAAAGAAAAGAAATCCCAACAGGTGGAAAATTAGTTAGACTGTAGGGATGCATGCAAAAAGAAAACAAAGGATGACCTGACTCACACCACACCACTACAATCACCATCACAATCAGCACACAAGAATACAGGCCAGTGTAACCACAATCAGTAGTGGTACACGCACCCACACAGAACTGCTGATACTGCTGCTG